GGTGATTGAGTCATGAGGATGGAGCCCTCATGAGCACAATTAGTGCCCTCATAAGAAAAGACCCCAGAGAGTTCTCTGCCCCTTCTACCATGTGAGGACACAGCAAGAAGACAACAGTCTGTGAACCAGGAAATGGGTCCTCACCAGATATCAAATTTGCCAGCACCCTGATCTCAAGACTTCCAGCCCTAGAACTATAAGAAATAAATGTTGTTTAAGCCACCCATTTTGTTACAGCAGCCTGAGCAGATTAAGACATGAACAAAGGACGTTGACCCAGTTGGCTCTGGCAGTCATCTTGCAACTATGAGGAGAAGCAGTTTAAGCTTGAGCAAAGCTACCTCAAGACCCCAAGGAGATGTTCAGTGGGCATTAAAGCCACAGAACACAGAGGCAAACTTCCTGCCTAAAATAAGAACAGGAACTTAGGAGTTGGGAGAGGAGACAAAGAGGCGATGGGGAGGAAAAGAGAGAGAGTGGGACCAAGCAACATGGAGAATCCTGTAAGCCAAGCTGTAGAAAGGGACAAGAACATTTTAGCAGTAGGGAAATGTAAAATTTCATATTCCTATTGTGTCCCAAGAATCCTTTTGTCTTCCCAAACAGTCAAGAAAGCCCTTTATACACCTGAAGGACTACAGGTATTCCTGAAGGACTACAGTGACTGATGTACCAGATTTTTTGTCAAAAAAGGAAGAGAAGGAGAGAAGCAGGGAGTCCAGGAGAAGGATAGGGAGTGCAGGTAGTCAGGGCCTTTGACTGCATACAGCAGACATGGATTCCGGCTGGTTTGGAATGAAAAGGAGTTTATTGATGTCTTGCCCCTTAGTCCCTCAGGCCATCTCTGAGGTTACCATAAGCAGGCAGCTAGCTTCATCTTCTGGGTCCTCTGATGCTTGCTCAGTCTGAGTACAGACTGGCACAGAAATGGCAGAGATTTAACAACCTCAGGCAACCCTCAGCCAATGAATGACAGGGTTCAGTGAATAAATACCCAGCCCTGGTTCCTCAGAGGGGCAATTCTGATTCCTGATGCTTCTCCAGAGAGTCCCCAGCAGGAGCGAACGAAGCCCAGTTGCCTATCAGGATAACCTACCCACCAGCATACCCTTTACTAGCATTTCTCCCTTCCCCAGTACTTTCTGGGATCACCTCCTATGGTAGATGTGTCTTCCACTGATGGTAACAACACCTCTCACTCACACGCTCTTGCAGAACCTTGCTCTTTCTCCCATAAAGAGGCAGAGTCTCTGTTCTCTTCCCTTGAACTTGGGCAGGGCTTGCAACAGCTCCCGCAAATAGAACATTGCAGAAATGTTATGTGACTTCCAAGGCTAGACTGTAAAAGGCCATGAAGCTTCTCTGCCAGGTTCTCTTGGGACACTAACTCTTAGAAACCAGCCACCATGCTATAAGGAGGCCGAGGCCACATGGAGAGGCCACTTGTAGGTGTTCTGGCTAACAAGTAGTATAATCTGCCAGATGTGTAAGTGAAGTCACCTTCAGATGATCCCCACTCCAGCCATCAAGTCACTCATAGTTGTTGAGTCACCTCCTGCTAATAGCCCAGACATTGCAGAGAAGAGACAAGCAGTCCCCACTATGCCCTGTCTGAATTCCTGAACCACAGAATCCATGATGATTTAAAAAAAAGGTCATTTTCTGCCACTGAAGTTTGCAGTGGTTTGTTCTGCAGTGGTAATAACCAGAGCATCTCCCAAATAAACCACCTCCACACAAGCCCTTGTCTCAGGGTCTACTTTTGGGAGACTCCAAACAAAAACAAAAGGATTATTGTATCAACATCAGAATTTCTGCAGCTCCCAGGTCTTGGCTTAATTTAGCCCTAGTGCAAGGAACTTCATCTTAATCCCAACAAGAGCCTTATGTCTCCATCTCATTAGTGTAGGGACAAATAGGCCAATATAAATGGAGTAGCTGATTGGGCAGGTCTGGGCAGGTCCTCCTCCCTCCATCCACCACTCCCCGATCCTATGGCGTCTGCTTTCCCAACCACACAGTTCTGAGAGTGGGGTGAGGAGGTTCCACACAGGAAAACTGGGCTGCAGCTACCGGGCCTTGCCAGCTCTGTTCAGAGATTAGGGGTCATGAACTTCAAGGGAGGGAAACCCTCTTGAGTCGCTAGGTGAGTGCCAGTTAAGCAAAACCAATCATGGTTATTCCATTGCCCTTGCCAAGGACTTGTTTAGGCACAGACATGTGATAGAATCCTTGCCAATGAGTTGTGAGTAAAAGGCTTCTGGGCAGGATGTTGGAGGAGTAGCAGATGGTGGGTAAAGGTTTCTTCACTCTTAAAAAATGAGGCACAAAAGGAATGTTCTAATTTCCACCTCTGAAAGTTGTTGTACAGTGATGTAATGCTTGTAGCCACAGCAGCCATCTTGGGATCATGAGGGACAAGCCCGAGGGTAAAAACCAGAGCACATGATGGTACAGAAAGATGGAAAGAACCTAGGTCTTCAATGACATTGTTCAACTACCTCTTTACCAACCTTAAAAACACTTCCAGATTCTTATTATGTGAAAAAAACAAATCATCTTAATGTTTAAGCCACTTTGAGTTGAACCATAGTTATCTTAAGATAAGAATTTGATACCAGGAGCAGGGGCCTCACTGGGCATACCATGATGAAAGATTCAGGTCAAATTTCCATTTTTCTATTTCAAAAACTGCTGTCCGGCCAGTTCTTACTTCTTATAATGAGGAAGTTGTTCTAGAAGTGACAACTTCCCTTTTGATGAAATTCTCTAAATCTCAATAATTCTGCGGCTGAGGTTTGGATGTCAGTTCTACTTCCTGAAACAAACTATGATTTAGGTGCTCAGAGGGGGCTATATTTTGGAACTGCCGAAAGGGAAAGGCTCAAGTCAAATTCATAACAGCCTCAGCTTCTGAGGTTTCCGAAAAACTGAAAATCCAACATGAATGATCTTCAGTGGCAAAACAGGGTGTTATATGAAGCGCAGAGCACTTACTATGTGCATCTCTCAATTCACACTCGTGACAACTTTGAGTGATGGGCAGTATTACCCCATTACCCCACTTTGCACAGGGTCCAGAAAGTGTCATTAACTGGCCCTTACGACAGCCTCCCACCCTATCCCACAGCGGGTACTTTCTCTGGTTTTCTCCAGCTGAGAGGGTGACTATGTATTCCCCATGCAAGTACCAACCAGGGTGAAGAGGAGGAAAATTAAACCAGATAGGCCTGTCTTCAACCCGTCTGATACTGTCTCACCTCCCTGCTTTTGCTCAAGCTGTTCCTGAAGCTAGAATGTCCTTCATACTACCTGTTATTCATCACTTTATATGTGCCAGGTACTTTTCTAAGCACTTAATGTGTTGTTGTTTACTCTCCATAACAATTCAGAGAAGAAACTGAGGCAAGAGAAGTTGAGTACCCCCTGTGGCCCCCAGGTCACACAGCTTGGTAGGTGATGGAACCAGAATTCCAATCCATACCATTCAAGTGACTCCTGAGCCTACACCCTTAACCACCACTTGCTTCTTCCTTCTCTGTCTTCAGGGCCAAGCCATTTTCCGGTTTGAGTGCCTCTCCTCCAGGGAGCATTTCCTGATGCTCTCAACATGGCCTGCTCTTCAGCACTCTGGGTATTCATGCTGAAACCAGTCACCTTCCTTGGTTACCGCCTATTTAAGTGCTGATTTACCCCTCTCCCTGCCCTCCATCAGCCGTTATCTCCAAGTGTCCTCACAATCTCCCTACAACCCATTTTACAGAAGAGAGCACTGAGGCTCACAGAAATTAAGCAACTTGCCTGAGACCACACAGCTAGGCAGTGGCCAGAGGAAACTGGAACCTGGCCAAACTGTGCCAAAGCCCTGATGTTGTCATAGATGCTGATAAACACCTGCAGTTTAAATCAGGAGCCTCTGCCTGTCTACCCTGGCCCCAGAAGACTCTGGGTGCCCAAGGGGACAGAGGACTTTGAATGTTGGAGAGTGGGGCTGGCAGTCAATGTGTCTGGACCCAAGTCTTCACTACCACCCCCTGCAGCCTGAGTGCCCACATCTGTAAGCAGGTGTTGGTGGTTAAGTGGCCCAGGGCTCTGGGCTCAGATGACCTTACTTTCATTTTCAGCTGTCTTATCTGGGACAAGTAGTTCAATAATCACACCTACATCTAGGGGTTCTGTGAGAATGCGATGGGCCAGTGTGGAACTTGAGGGCAGTACCCATGCACTGTCAGCACAATTCCAGAAAGCTTCCTGTAATGGTTACTTTTGCTAGCCAGAGACAGCCAGGAGTGGGGTAGAGAGTATATATACTCTGGAGTGACTGCCTGGATTTGAACCTTGATTCAGTCCCTTACTAGCTCCATGACCTTGGGCAAATCACATAAACCTCACTGTGCCTCAGTTTCCTTGTCTGTAAAATGGGAATAATAATCAGACCTACCTTGCAGGATTGTTCTGAGGTTTAAATAACTTACTGTAAATGCAAAGTGACTAGCACAGTGCCTGACACAGCAAGATTGATAGTTTCACTGCTGGTATTATTATCACCTCCATGGCTATTATGGTTAGGGCTCTGACGGTCAGGGCGGCCAAGCACTGAGGGTTTTGCCGACTCATCCTCGCTCCGCAGGTCCGGTAGTTCCAGCACCCCACCCCCACCCCCCGCCTCCCGCAGCCTAAGTCACCCCAGATTGTGCGTCACCCGTGCCCATCCCGCCGCACGACCTGCAGACTCACCCTGAGTCAGCCGGCCCAGGCGCTTCCACTTCCGGGAAGCCGCACGGCGGAGGGGAGACTGAGAGGCGCCCCCCGGCGGAGAGCCGGAGCCCCGCGCCGGTCCCGCAGCGCCCAGCGAGCGGAGCCTGAGTAGTGCCGCTGAGCGCGGGGTTGGGATCGACCGAACCATTGCGGAGGCAGGGGAGAAACGCCCTCCTGCCCTGCCCTCCATCCCACCCCCCACCGCCCGCGAGGATGGTACGGCCCAGCCCAGGTTAAAGCCCGGAGAGGCGGTGCGTCCGGCGGCGGCGGCGGCGGCGACGAGATGGGGCTGCGCGCCGGAGGAGCGCTGGCCGGGGCGGGCCGGGGGGCGCCCGAGGGATCCCGGCCAGGCAGCGGCGCGCAGGGCGGCAGCATCCACTCGGACTGCATCGCCGCAGTACACAACGTGCCGCTGAGAGTGCTCATCCGGCCGCTGCCGTCTGTGCTAGACCCGGCCAAGGTGCAGAGCCTCGTGGACACTATCCGGGTGAGGCCCGGGGAGGCCGGCCTGGGGAGGATTCCAGGGGAGGGAAGTGGCACACGCGAGACGTTCGTTCCAGACTCTGCCGATCTCAGCATATACTGTGTGACCTTGAGCAAGTGGCTAGGCTTCCCTGGGCCTGTTTCCTCATTTGAGCAAGGAGCGGATTAGACAAAATAATTGAAATAATGATTACTAACTCTTACAAAGGTAGCACTCACAGCGCCCCAGAGCTATTTTAAGTGCCTTAGCTTCTTCACCCCAACCACTGTTTCTTTTTTACAGATGAGGAAACTGAGGCACCGGAGAACTTAAGCAACTAAGGTCAGGCACTTAGAAAGTGGCACAGCCTGGCCCCAGTGCCCAGCAGCATGGCCACCACAATAAATGCAGATAAGCTGTGCTGTCACTTCTGGCCATGAATGTCAGTGGTGGTGGCACTGGGCATGTCATGTCTGCTGGCAGGGCCTTGTTTGAACTGGAACTGGGAGAGGACAGGGGTTAGCCCCATCCCTGAAGGAGGATGTTCGAGAATGCAGGAGTGATGACAGCAGGAGCTTTGGGGGAGGGAGGGAATATGTGTCAGGTTAGGCATGTTGCATGTTACCATGTCCCCTTGCCCTGGACTTTTGGAAGATAACCACATGAGGCTCCACCTCACACCCCTACAGCTCCCCACAACGTCTTTCAGTCCCAGAGTTTGTTGTGTTTCCACTACCTGGAACTGCCTCCGCAGATGGCAACAGTGCCTGCCCCCTCACTTGGTTCAGGGGTGCACCTCCCCATTGACCCTTCCTAACAGAGACCTCTCAAGACCTCCCCTTAGCCTGAGGCACTTCTCCATGAGAACTTATGTCCACCTGAGTTACGTTATACTTGTGTTTCTGTTTTATCTTCCTCACCTCATGTGAACTACACAAGAGCACAGACTTTGTCAGATCTTGGCTGTTTCCTCAATGCTAGGGGGGTGCCTGGCTGCTCGTGGAGGAGCTAGCCACGTTCCCTCCCACCCCTGGGCCTTTGCACAGGCTTTTCCCCCCTGTCAGGAGAACTCTTTCATCTCTTCTTTGTTGTCTCTAACTTCTTGGTCTTGTCTCAGTGTCTGTCTTCCCTGAGTTAGAGCCTCCTGAGGACCCCCAGCCACCTGCATGCCCACCAGCTTAGCTCTGACCCCACTGGGTTTAATGTCCTGTGTAGACACGCATCTTCCATACTAGAACCCTACCCAGCCTGCCTGTGCTTACCATATGTATTAGTTTCCTATGGCTACTATAACAAATTACCAGAAACACAGTGACCTAACACAATAAAAGTTTTTTATGTTATAGTCCTGTAGTTCAGAAGTCCAGAATGGGTCCCACTGGGCTAAAATCAAGGTATCAGAAGGGCTACATTCTTTACAGGAGGCTCTAGGGGAAAATCCATTTCCTTGCCTTTCCCAACCTCCAGAGGCCATCTGCATTCCTGGTCTCATGGCCTCTCTCTTCCATCTTCAAAGCCAGCAACATCTGACCTTCTCTTCTACCTCTTTTCTATTTTTAGGGACTCTGGTGATTGCATTTGGCCTTTCTGGGTAACTCAGGACAATCTCCCCATCTCAAGAGCCTTTAACTGCATGACATGTAAGGTAACATATTCACAGACTCCAGGAATTAGGATGTGGGGCTGTTATCTTTGGAGGCCATTATATTGCCCACCCACCATCATGCCCTCAGGGCCACTCAACACTACTGCCGCTCAGGCAGGCTGTGCTCCACGCCTCACATGCATCAGCTCCTTGACTCTTCAGCAGCAGCCCCATAGCATGTCTATTCCCATTTAATTGATGAGAACTATGCTCAGACAGGTGAGGCTACTTGCTCAGGGTCCCGCAGCTTCTCTGCAGAGGAGCCAAGGTTCAAATTCAGGTTTTCTGGGTTCCCAAGCCCCCAACTTTGTAACTAGTGGGCTTTACTGCTTCATAATCATTTCTGGAATAAATAGGTAAATGAGTCCATCAAAGCAGTATAGTAAGAGAGAACCTGTGGGCCAGTGGGGGAGGGCTTCTAGGCAGCCCACACTTAATGTGGTCTCCCCAGGATGCTGTAGCCCCACCCCAGGGTTTCCCTGCTTAGAGGACCTCTCTCTACCTGGCTGCTCAGGCCCCTACAGGTAGGAAACTTAAATCTACTACTAAGAAGTAAACTTTCTTCTCTTCACATTCACTTCTCCTGCCAGTCCCCTCAGATCTGCCCCCTAAACGTGTTCCTAACCTGTCTACCTCTCCGTGACCTCTCCACACCCTTATCCAAGCCAGTATCTTCTTCTAAATACCTGCTGAGGCATCGCCTCTGTCTTCCCTGCTTTCACCTTTGTCCACCCCACCAAGCCTAGTCTCCCATGACAACTTTCTAGAACGTTCATCAGATCACATCACCCTCCCCTGTTTAAAACACTCCAGGGCCTAACCACTGCCCTTAGAAACTAACCTACACAGTCTGGCTCCTTCTGACCTTTCTGCCCTCTTCTACTCTTGACCCCTTGAGTCCACTCTGATCACACTCTGGCTGCCTTGGCATGCCTCCAATATAGTGAACTTGTTCTAGCCTCAGGCGTTTTGCATTCGCTGTTCCTTCTGCCTGGAATGCTCTTTCCTCAGGTAGTACGCAGCACATATTATTGAGCTCTTTCCATTTGCCAAGCATTGTTCAAAGTGCTTTACATAAATCAACTCATTTAACCTAACATTCTTTGAGGTGGGTCTGTCATCTTCATCCCCATTTGATAGATGAAACAACTGAGGCACAGAGAGATTGATTTCCCAGGGTCACATAGCAGTTAACTAGCAGCACTGAGATTTGAGCCGAGAAAGTTTGGCTCTTACTCTGAACTATCCCACCTCTCTGTCTTCCCATGTGGGCCCCTCCATGTTCAGGTCTTGGCTCCACTGTCACCTCAGAGAGGCTTTGTGGACCTACATCCCTGTCATGTCAACCTGTATTATGCTCTTCATAGCATTTATTACTCTAACATTCACTTCTTTAGTCCACCTGCCCTTCTAGACTGAAGCCCCTTGGAGGCAAGGGCTATGCCTGTACTTTATTCCCAGGGTCTTGAATAGTACCAGGTATAAAATATGCATGTGGTATAATAACAAATTGATAAATCTTTAACAACCTGGCCTTCATGGGAGGGAAAAGTCTTGATCTGTGGCATCTGCCATTTTCTTGATATAGATACTCTCACCAGGGCTGATTTACAAGCTGCCAAGGCAATGCCAACCAGCTGACAGAATTTGAGAATATTTAACAGTTGTCTCTCAGCAGCCTGAGCTGGTGTGAGCAGCCTGTAGGATTTCAACACTGGCCAACAAGGTTGGCTTTGCAAACTGTCGACCATTGTGCCATGCTTATTCACCCTGTGCCCTCTTCTCTCCAGGAGGATCCAGACAGCATTCCCCCCATCGATGTCCTCTGGATCAAAGGGTCCCAGGGTGGTGACTACTTCTACTCCTTTGGGGGCTGCCACCGCTATGCAGCCTACCAGCAGCTGCAGCGAGAGACCATCCCTGCCAAGCTTGTCCAGTCCACACTCTCGGACCTAAGGGTGTACCTGGGCGCTTCCACACCAGACTTACAGTAGCAGCCTCCTTGGCACCTGTCACCACTTCCAGCAGCCCAGAAGACACACCTGACCTCCAGTGAGCTAGTCCACCCAGAAGTAGCAGGGGTGCATTCTTTTTGTGCCTGGCGGAGGTCTGGCTCTAAGCACCCTTTTCACTAGCTACAAGACCTTGGACTCACAGCTAAGCAGTGTGGGAGCCCCAGTCCCCAAGCTGTGAAAATTGGGTCCTGTGTTTGCTCTAGACGGATTATTGAGAGGGTTAAATGAGAAAGGAGATGGGTTTGGAGATCCACATGCTGCTGGCTCCAGATTCCCAAGGACAAGGATCCTTCTGCATTTTAATCTTTATATATTCTATTATGTGGAATATGCTCAGCTGCAAGTAAAGGAAGACCTAGGTTACATGGGCTTAAACAAAGAGAAGTTTGTCTTTCCACATAGCATGATTTTGGAGACAGGTGACTAACGGTATTGATGGGTTCAGCAACTCAGCAAAGGTAGGGCTCAGATCTTTATGATCCTTTTGTTGTTTTCCTCACTGCTTTGTACTTCATGGCCACAAAATGGCTGCTATACCTCCAGGAATCATGGCTGTGCTCAAGGAAGAAAGGCGTGGGGGAGGAGGAAGGGTCAGCCAGCTCTTCCTGTCAACTTCTATCATAAAGTCAAACCTTTTTCAGAGGCCTGTTTCCAGTTTTATCCCCCGGCATATTTCCACTCAGGTCTCCTTGGCCTAAACCAGCTACCATTTCCACTCCTAAGACAGCAGGGGGCAGAATTGGCACAATTGAGTGCCAATCTCCTGGCACTCGCATACTGCCTCCTGAAATAAAATTGGAATCCCATTTCCAAGAGAGAAATGAGGAATTGTCTCTCAGTTAGCCTTTGCTGTGTAACAAACCATCCTAAAGTTTGGCAGCTAAAATCGAGCTGGGTGGTCTAGAACAGCCTTACTCACTTGTGTGGTAGTTGGCAGGCTTTTGGCTGGGTGACTTGGTTCTCCATGTGGCCTCTCCAGCAGGTTAACTCAGGCTTAATCATGGCCTTGGGGTTCCAAGAGAGTGAGAGTGGAAGCTGCAGGACTTCTTGAGGTCTAGGCCCAGACTTAGTACAGTGTCACTTCTGCTAAGTTCTATTGGTCAGAGCTAATTGTCAGGCTGGCCCAGATTCAAGAAGTGGGGAAACAGACTAGACCTCTTAATGGGAGAAACTGCATTGGATCTGTGGCATTTTCCATCTATCACAGATGATTTTGCATAGGCAAACAACAGTGTTTCTCTGTTTCTCTCTTCTGCACAGGGCCTTGCTCTGCCAGGCTGAAGTCACTAAGACATTGTCCTGGCTCTCAAATCTCGGGGAAAAAGTGATGGGGCAGGGGGTAGATCTCTCCCAGGACTGGGACCACTCTAGTAAGGGCATCTCCATTGTCTGCCCTGGTGGGATGGAGGTAGGCCAGATGGGACATTTCAAGGGGGCTTCTGAAAACCAAAAGTCCGGCGGGGAAAGAGAAGAGGTGAGGACAGGGTGCAGAGTGAGGCAGGCCTTGCTCTCACTGCCCTACGCAGGGCACTTGGTCACTTGGTGTTTTCAAGCCTCAGTTTTCTGAGGTCATTAGTGAAGACAACAGCCTTCCCACTCATTTTCTTTCCCAGGGAAAGATGACTCAGGTGACCAATAGTATTTAAAAGTAATATAGTCCTAAATGCAATGTGATATTTTGGGACAAAAAAAAGACATTAGTGTTAAAACTGGAACTCCGCATAAGGTCTGGATGTTAGTGAATATATGTTAACTCCATAACATACCAATATCAGTCTCTTAGTTTGACAAATGGACCGTGTAAGATGTAAAATCCTGACGTTGGGGAGGCTGGGTTAGAGCCTGGGAACACTCTGTACAATCAGTGCAGCTTTTCTGTAAATCAAAAGTTACTCCCAAATAAAAGTTTATTTAATAATAAAAATAGGGGGGTGTGATTGCTTTAGACTGGTGGTTCATTCAGGCTCTCCAATGGGTGTACTAAAACAGATTTCTGGGCCCCACCCCTAGAGTTTCTGACTTAGTATGTCTGGAATAGAGCCTGAGGATTTGCTTTTCCAATAAAGTCCTAGGGGAATAGCTGCTCCTATTTAAGGACCAAAAGGTGAGAACCACTGATCTATACTGTCACTTATTTTCAAATACGGTGACACCCCCTCCACCTGCATTGGGCTGGGTCCCAGGAGACTGTTCTGGGACTAGCTTGTATAACCATTCACCCTATGGCATTGGATAAGCCCTTCCCTGGGCGCTTTTCCCAAGCTGTCAAATGGACTGTCTACCCCTAAGGTTTGTAGCAAGGGTCAGGAAACTGAGGACATTCTTTGTAAACTGTGCCATTGTCTCACATGAGTAATTGCCTCCTGCACCCACTGGGCTAGGGTGACAGACAGGCCGCCCCTTCCTGAAAAGGCTTTTCCTTCTTAGATAAGACCCAGGCAGGTAGCACTAGGGGGCTCTACTAGGCACTGGGGGTGGGGGCAGTACAGAACAGACTTGGAATGGACGAGACTGGTCATTTTTAAGGCAGAAGGGCTGGGTTTTGAGGTGGAAGGAAACCTGCTGGTTAGGCGCTGAGAACTGTGATTCCCTCTCAAGCCAGCAGGTGACACTGCGCTTTGGCGGGCCCAAGTGTGCCTGGCCTCTAGCAACTACAGCAAGTGTGGGAAGAGGGTGGGTGGAGGGGCCTGGCTGTGAGGGAAGCCTGTCAGTTTCCTGGAAAAGCCAGAGGTCCAGGGGTGAAGGAGATGTGGCTGGGAGTTTGGAGTTTTAAGTTGTACTTAACCTATGCACTCCTGCTCTGTGACCTTGCCCACATCACAGCCTCTCCAGAGCTGACTCCTAGTCTGCTCTGGGGGTGCTGTGCCAGATGTTCTCAAGCTCAGCAAAGGTGGTGCCCCCTCCACAAAGCCTCCAGATCTTCCAGGCTGAGTCACATGCTTCTGGGCTCCCCAGTCCAACTGTGTGTTCCCTCCCCAGACAAACCACTGCCACCCAGGAGCTTGGGTCTAGTGAAAGGCAGTATGTAGGGGCCCTTTATGCCCCTCATTGCTGTGAAACTGACCCCCATCACCATAAAATTATTTTTTTAATTTCACAAGTTGTATGTGAGTATATTCACCTTTTGAATATTAAGATATCAAATCCTAAATAATTAAATATTAAAATATTAGAGTCAAGGATGAAGTCCACCATAAGTCCTAGTCCTGGTTGTCCCTTTACTCTCCCCACTCTTGGGGCAATTATCTTCATTAATTTGGTGTATACCCTTCCAGAGCTTTCTCTAAGTTTGCAGCACTACGCATGCCTGTAAGTGGAGAACGTTTTTCTTTTTTACATTATTTTTCAGACCACATTATTCCTGCAATGTGCCCCACCCCAATTAGTGTCTGCTTTTCTCTGAGCATCTCCCTCATTTCTGTCACTTCTTCAGAAGGGCCTTCCCTGACCATACTGTCTAAAACAGTTCCCTCCTGCATCATTATCACCTTACTCAGGTTTATTTCCTTCAGGGCATTTATCAGACTCCCTGAAATTATTTTCTGTGTCTGTTTATGTTTGTCTCACCCACTAGAATAAGTTCTAGAGGCAAGATTTGATCTGTCTTATCACCATAGGCCCAGTGCCAGAAACGGCACCTGATTCATAGAAGGTGTTCAATAAATATCTGTTGAATAAATAAATTCTGTGGAGGTCTAACTCATTCTTTTAATTGCTACATGGCATTCCAGGGTCTGAATGTCACCATGTATTAGCCATTCTCCTATTAGTGGCCATTTGGGGTTTACAGTTATTTGCTGCTCTTTGTGGAACACCACCCACCTTTACTCTGTGCTTTTCAACTGTATACACCTAGGAGTGGGACTGCCTGGCCCATACATAGCTCAATTTCCTATTTCTGAAGGACTAGCAAATCATTCACCAGAGTGTTCCAAGCACATTTCCCTCCAGCAGAGTTTGGGGGGCTGCTTTCCTTCCCTGTACTCCAGCCAGAGCTTCTTAGCCTTTTTTGGGTTGAACATGGTTGAGAATCCAAAGAAAGCCATGAGCCCTTTCTCCCAGAACACTCACAAATATTTTTGGCAATTTCTGGGGCTTGCTGGCTGGGCTTGATGGCCTCATCCCCCAAGGGGACCATGTACTGAATGTTTTGAATCCTGATTATCTCATTGTATGGATGGAAATGCTGAGGCACACACAGATGTGGGTGTGAATGAATGAATAACTGGGATCTAGTTTTATGGGGTAGAGGAAAGTGTTCAAACTCTGATGTGCCTCTGGTCACAAAACACCCTTGGTGTGAGGGGTAGTCCAGCCCTGCTTTCCTGGATCAGGCGGCTGGGAGGATGGGCTCCAGGGGCCCCTGGGCTCAGGTCTCAGCAGCTCTACCCGTCAGCCCTGGCAAAAAGCAGGCCAAGTCTGGCATTCAGGGTCAAAGCAGGGAACCAGAGAGAGGTCCTGACTCCCCTGGGCCAAAAGGGGGCTACAAGGAGTCCATGCCTGCCTTCCATACGCATGCGTTACAAACCACGTTTGCTTGCAGGCTCCCGCCAAGCCTTGGGTTCAAATCCCAACTCTAGCACTTCCATAGAGCAGGAAGGTAGGGAGCGCTCATTGCAGAAGGCTGCGGCATCATCATCATCACCATCGCTGTCGTCATTATCGTTGTCGTCATCGTTGCCGCTGCCATAGTTGATACAGTAGTCCCGACAGGTGGATAGGGCAGAAATTATCTTCCCTGCCACACAGATGGGCACCCTGAGGCCCGAGAAGGCGCCGCGACCTGCCCCGGAGCCCCCAGCCGGCGCAGCCTGGGTAATCGCCCTCGCACACGGACCCCCGCCGGCTCATCCGCCGGCCCATCCGCAGCCTCCCCCGCGGCCCCTTCCCCGGGCCTGACCCCCAGCGCTGCCTGACAGATGACCTCAGCTGCCGCCAATCCATTGGTTCCAGCGCCGGGGGGAGCGCAGAACAAAGCGCGCTTTGTGGCGGGGCCGTCCCCTCACCCGGCGCGTCCGCCGCGGGGACCCCCTCCGGAACTCCGAGCGACGCCCCCCGGCCGACAGCCGTGTAATGTCTTCCAGGCCGCGCAGCTCCTTCCAGAGCCCGGGAGCCGCGCTCGCGTCCCCCGGGGGCTCCCGCTTGGCCCCCCGGGCGTGGGGTTGGGGGCGCCCCGTGGGAGGCTGTGCGGGCCACCAGCCGGTCCCTGGGGAGGGAGCCGGAGCGGGCCCGGCAGGGGGTGCCGGCCGGGTGCTGCCACCTGATAACCGCATGCGCTAACCCTTGGGGCCACCGCGCGGGCTGGGTACTATACCGCTGTGGCGGTGATGGTGTTACAATTACTGTCATTATTGTAGCCATGACTGTTATTACTTTGTGGTTGTGAGGGCGAGTCACTTTACATTCACAGACCTGGGCTCGAGCCTTGGATCTGCCACCTACTGGCTGAGGGACATTGGTACGTTCAGCTCTCAGAACAAAAGCAATAGCGGCCAACATTTCTTGAGCACCTACTGTGTGCCAGACACCACTAAGTGCTTAAAGACTCTTTAACTCACTGAATCCTCACAACACGCTGAGGAGGGAGGAGTCATTATCCACCTTTCACAGAGGAAAAAAACGTGGCTCCAGCTGTCCTGGAGACAAATTCATTTCCCTGAGCCTCAGTTTCCATGTCTGTAAAATAGTCTCACCAAGGGCCATGCACTCTCATTAGTCTTATGTTTTTCCAGATGAGGCCATGGGCTGGGAGCAGGCCAAGCATGCCAAGCATGGTCTGCTGGTGAGGCCCTCTGTCCTGTAAGGACTTCCGTGGAGGGTATAGCTCTTATGGCCGTGGCTCCCAGCAGGATTGTAGGAGAGGAAGGAATAGGAAGGGGGTCTGCCAACAGCTGGAAAACCTTCCCCCTGAAAGACAAGCTTCGATGTCGTGTCCTGCCTTTGAGAGTTGAGGGGGTAAGGGCAGGAAGAGAGGGAAGGCATGCCCAGAGAGGGGATCAAGGGGTCACAGAGGGGGCTGGGCAGGGCTGGGAGAGACTGGCCCCACCCTTCCCTCACCTCCTGGGACCTTCACTCTACAAACTGGAAGTATATACCAGATACCTACTGTGCACCAAGCACTGTCCGAGATGCTGGGACTGTCAGAGTACAAAACAGATGGAAACTCCTGTCTTGAAGTCCACTCAATGGAGACAGGCAAGAAATGCACACACGAATCGTGTAAAATGTAAATGCAGTATCGGGTAGTGATACTGAGAAAGAAGAGCAGGGGAATGAGAAAGAATGAGATGGGAGATACCAATTTTGTTAAGGTGGTTGGAACTCTCTAGGGAGGGGGCATTGTCCTGAACAGAGAGGAAAGAAGCCCTGTGGATGTCAGAAGGAAGCGTGTTCCAAATAGAAGGAAAAGCACATGCAAAAGCCCTGAGGTGGGAACCTGCTGGGAGTGTCCAAGAAAGGATGAGGAGCCGGTATGGTGGGGGCAGCCTGGATGAAACAGGGGCTGGGCTGAGCAGGTGACAAGGTGGGAGAGGTGGGCGCTGTCAGCTTGGGAGGTGTCTTGTAGGTGGGGAGGACTTTGGCTTTTTTCTTAGGTGAGCTGAGAGCCACATGGGGCTTTGAGCAGAGGAGGGACCTGGCTCCTGCTGCTGGGTAAAACAGGGGTGGGAAGGGAGTGAGGGGAAAGGCCGCTGCCGTCCCCAGGGCCCCAGGTGAGGGTTAGTGGATTAGACCAGGGTGGAGACAAATGATCACAATCTGGATGTAACTTGAAGATGGAGCCCCAGAATTTTCCAGTAGATGAAACTGGACCTGAAGGATGAGAGACAGAGGGAGGACACTGGTGACCCCCAGATTTAAGAATCCACTAGCCCTTTCCAGAACCTTCACTGCAGGCCAGAATGTGGACAGAGTCCTTGGAGTGAA